CCATGTAGCCAGAAACAAACAGATTTAATATGTCCAAGTTTTCCACAGTGGTAACACCTATACCCTTGGAATTTTTTCTTGGTTTGGTTCTAGCTTCTGTTTCTCTGATGTTGAGACATTGGTCGTGACATCCATTTTGACTTCTGAGTTTCAGGCTTTAGCCTTTTGAGCTCCAAGATGGGTTTCTGTTCACCAACAAATCCCAGTCCACCCATGTTTCCAGCTTTCTGACCACTCTGTAGGTTTTTTTCTAAAGTGTCAGTCCCAGGGTTTAGCATCCTGACAGATTTAGTCAACTGATCAAGTTTGGAGTTTAACATTTTGACCTCACTGTTGAGTGAGTCAATGGTTGTAAGATTCTACTTCTTCTCAGCTTCCAACTTCTTGATGATTTTCTTATGCTTCTCCCCTAGTTGACATATTTCAACACTCTTGTTGTATAGCTGTTTATATGAGACTGCAAGTTCATCAAGGGTCAGCTCATCTTCACTTGAGCTCATGGCAACAATCCCGCACTCTTTCACCTCAACAGCTCGAGAAACACCACCTAAGGCAACTGCAGGTAAGTGAATCTGATGACCCTGAAGTTGGAAGCCCCATTCCTTGGAAGTTTAGAGAATTTACGCTACTGGGCCGGAGGGGGGTCGAACAATTGGCAAGGCGGTTTCCCTTACAATCCGTACAAGACTACTAGACGGCTCCACACTAACGGATGCGACACAGTCTAGCAAAATGTTGGTGATGGCTTATCGAACCAATATGATGCCGCACATAACACTACCTGCAAAATGGTGAATATACAGAAGCCGGATCAAGAATCAAAGTAGTTGCATAATTTGAACTTTGAACATTGAAAACTGAGAATCTCAGATTGAATGCGGAAATAAGTAAAAGGGAGTACACGACCTAAACCTCTTGGCTTATCATGCTCAGGATGTTTCTATTACGGTTCTCATCCAAGCATGATGACAAACTGCTCCTCATTGAACTTTGTGCGTCGCGCCCGTTTATTTTGATACAATCTGCAAATGGAAATCAGAAATTCTGTTACGAATTGGAAATAAAATCATCCTAATTAATAAAGAGAAGTGGACTCAGTTCCCTGGAAAAAGCTATCGGTGTTTGTCGACAACCACCATAAGCAGTGATAAACTTATCCAGGGTGTATTATGTCAGGAATGCAATTCTTTGGTGGTGCTGAAATTGGCCTGTCACCGCCGTAGGAAATAGGGGTCACATGCTGTGTGATTTCGTAAATTGGCATGTGCTTGCTCACAAGTTAACGTTTGGCCTGCTCTTCCCGCCCAAGCCACAGTTACCGTATTTGTTCAAAATCCCAAAAGAGGAAATACCTGCATAAGTTCTGAAATAATTAATAAGAATTTGAGTTGTATTTCGAATTGGGAAAACAGGATCTCACATGAAACAACCACCATCATCTTGTGACAACACATCACAACGTGTTTAATGCCAGTTCAATCTCTTTCTGATAATATGCTAAATTCGGAAAGAAATCAGGACATATCCCCTTATTCATCAGGTACCGTTAATGTATACAAGACCAAAACAGAAGGTGTTTAAGCAAATCAATTCTCCTAAAATCAACACAACTTTTTATAGAATCCATCACTAAAAGATAATATGACTCCTAAATAAATCAACCTTCTTAAAAAATCAATCCGTCTAAAATCAATCTCAACATCGTAATGTAATCAATCGTGCACATCCACATTCACATACACAATTCACTCACCTACACCTTAGCGCTTTCATGCGTGTGTATGGTTTATTTTCCGCAATTTATTTTCGTAATTTACATTATCGTATTTATATTCTCGCATCGCATTCCGTCCAAAGGAAAAACCTACACGTGATTCAACAATTGTGTGTAGTGCACATCATTTGCATCATTCTCCCACATGATCCTTGATCCCATTCAAGTCGATCTTTAAGATAGATCCTACCCCATAGGAAGGACCATTATCTTTACAACTTAGAACAAACATTCAACAACTCAAATCAAACAACATTCAAACACATTAGAGAAAGATGCCAAATCATCTTAAGCGAGATGGAATCTCCACCCCACAACAATACGGTCAATACCGTAGGAACTTTGCCTTAAGAGAGATAAAGGTGTACCTCGTCAATTGAAATATTAGCTACTCATAATAATAAAAATACAATCAACAATTAGACTGAATATTACAAGATAATTGGTTGTCTTGATCTCCAATCGCTTCCGCTCATGAGGACCTTCAGTTTCCCAAATCCTTGATCGCTCCAATCTTCTTCGTGAAATTCTTTTTCGTCCAAAAGTCCCTTTCTCAATTCACGACGCGTCTAATATACTAGAATTCAAATTACAACGCGAAATGCCTAAACTGCCCTCCGAGATAGCACAGTCAGCATAAAACACATAATAAAAACATTTTACTTTTAGTAGCCCTGACACGGGCCGTGTCATGGGACACGGGCACCCGTGTCAGGCCGCTGACTCGTGGATGACAATCTTCATCTTCAGGGGCCCTGACACGGGCCGTGTCATAGGACACGGGCACCCGTGTCAGGCTGCTGGTTCTTGGGTTTGGCTATTCAACTTCTTGTCTTTTAGAGTCCTTCCTGACACGGGCCCGTGTCATAGGACACAGGCGGCCGTGTCAGGCTCCTGGTCCACCTTAAAACTATTCAGAATTCTTGCCGTTTTCCCCGGTTTTCGCGCTACTTCTCCTTTATTGTTTACCTGAACCTAAAAACAGTGAAAATATCAAATCGACGCGTAAAATGTAATAAAAACAAATAAAATGCGACAAGAAATAACAATTAATTAACTGAAACAAACGGTAAAATAACGTGTAAAAACCACTGATCAATTGCCTTGTTTGCTTTGGTGTTTTGATCTTCCATCTTGTTGATTTGGATATGACATGTTTATGTCTCATGGTTACATGATCATTGTTGTTGGTGTGTATGCTTCTCTTATCTCTTTTCATCTTTTATGACTTGATTAAGTATTTTCTTTCTGTTTTCATTTGTGATTGATTAGTGATGTGTTTACTTGTACCTGCTCACATGATCCCTTAGGATTCCTAGTCCCTCTGTTTAAGATAGGAGTAGGAGAGACATTAGGCTTCCAATCCTTTATATGATAACATTAGGTAGATTCCACTTTCATCCAAACTTTAAGACCACTTTGCATGACAACATTAGGGTACTCAGTCCTCTTTAGTGTCCTCGTGTCTTCTCTTCTCATCGCAAACTATTCTAAGGCACTTAATAAAGAATGACAATTGTTGTACGCTACGAGCCTTAAGTACATGAGAAATGATAAGTGGGGAGGTCTCTCTTCACTTGTCTAGAGTGTTTAGCGCATGCCCTTTGGGCGATATGCGACGCATTCGCTCTTATGTCATAGTGTTTAGTGCAACATGAGTCTCAAACTAACTCAATCCAGTTCACTAAAACTCACAAACAAATTTCAAACTTTTTCATCCTTCGGGATTGTTTCAAGCTTCATTTTCTGAAAAGAGTACGTTACCTTTCCGTTCTACCGCAAACAGGCATCGTCCCTAACTGCTGGAATGGAGACTTAGCGTCACTAATAAAAAACTCTTAATCAACCAGTGGTCTAGTTACCCGAACTACGTTTGTTCTGATTTCTCATACCAGATGAGGATACGTAGGCACAAGACGGCGATGTCTTGGCGAGCAACCTTCCCCCCATCACCCGTAGTTTTCCGAACTACGTTGACTATGACTTTCCCATTGCACGAGGGGCATAGGGCGGCGATATCCTATCGAGTCTGTTCTTTCTATTCACCCTCGTTTAGCAGTAGATTTTAGATAGTTTTCACCTATAGATTAGACAACAAGCGTGGATTCCGTTGAGTACAACGGACGTGAGGGGTGCTCATACATTCCCCTTGCGTAACCGACTTCCGATCCGAAGATTTGGTTGCAATGACCTTGTCTTTCCCGTTCTTTTAAGTTTTCTTCAATCGTTTCCTTTCCTTCTCTTTGGGATAAATAACGTTCGGTGGCGAATCTTCTGTTTGTTTCCACCTGCCCCTTTTCTCAGTTGCAACACACATATGTTAGAAAAGCGTCATATCATTCAAAAAATATTATCAAATTTGAAGGAGGACTAGTGTGCGTGCGTGCGTGCGTGCGTGCGTGCGTGTGTGTGTATATATATATATATATATATATATATATATATATATATATATATATATATATATATATATATATATATATATATATATATATATATATATATATATATATATATATATATATATATATATATATATATATATATATATATATATATATATATATATATATATATAACTAATTTTTAAATTGAGAGATCAAAACCCAAAAAATGAATAATAGAAAGACAAAAGTTACAATTAAGCCAATATTTTTTTTATTATTACTTTGTATTATCTTTGGAAAAATGAAAACATTTAATTGTTAAATCTCCAACCTCAATCAGACCTTTAAAAATTGCACCAATGCCTACACCAGTTGAAAATCCATAACAGTTTGATTACCTTCGATCTAAGAATAGAGTATACCAGCTGTCCTGCCATTATGATTTTATCTTATATAGTAAAAATAAACGTATCCCTGATGAAGCTGTTTTACTTAGAAGTGAGCTTATACTACTCTCCAACTAAGATAAAGCCTGCACAAGTATACAAATGATAACAGTTTAAGGAAAAAGAGATTCTTCAGTAATCACATGCATGTAACTCGAGGTATATGTAGTAAGGCAAAACTTGCTTACAATACCATAGAGGAGAATGTTGTTCTCTACTCAAAAGTGTGACATGTCACATGTAGACATGACATGTTTCGAGAGAATTACGTGCTGAGGAAAATATAGACAAATATAAATACTATAATCATTTAGTAAAGAACAGCATCCACTACAGTACCATAGTTAAGTTTTGTCCTAAAATATAACAGATGCAATTAAGTGAACTTATTAACTACTCAGGCAGTAAAGGCAATCTATCCGAGTTGTTCAGTGAGCCATTAGCATTGCCATTGGAGGAAGATAAATCATCAAATTCACCATCAAACTCAAAAGTTTCAAGAGCTTTCACTTCATCCGTCCCGTAATGGGATGGCATGATGCGAAGATAATGTACATCTAACTCTCCACGGATTCTCCTTGCTTCTAATTGATAGCTACGAACAAGCTCCAGTTGAAGTGATACCACCTGGTATGACCTTGGTAGTAGATCCACATGTTCTCCCTTAGGAATTACTACATGCTCTATAGCCATTCTTGCCTCCTGAAATATGAATGTAATCATCAGTCTCATTAATTTAAGTGTCTATTTTCAGTTGTAAAATATTACAGGTGGGTGGATTTCATAGTCCAAGCTGAATATTATAGCAAACACTTTGGCAATGAATTTATTGATTATACTTCCTTCTGTCATAATATAAGTAATCAATTATCAAGTGTGGACTTGCTTCACGTCATAACACTGTCATTATAGTGTCATATACTGATGGGTCTTAAAGCACAAATTAGTAAAGAAATGGATAAAACAGTGTGATAAGAAACTGTAATTGTATTACTATCAGATCCACAACTACAGGAAAATGGAAATGAAGAAAAAGAAAATAACAAACTGGTAGTGGCTACCAATTCCCAAGCACAGAGTGCTCCCAAATCACCAAAAGTGACCCCACCAAATCCTAACAGAATTCTGTCCTGAATATTCCCTTCCAACTGTAGCTATATATAGCCACTCTCATGCCCTTAATTCATTCACAGCCACGTCATCATCTTTAATTCCTTTTGTTTTCTTCCTCGTGTAAACTCTCCACACCCTTGGCCTAGGTCCCACTTCTCTAATCACATTTCTATCATATACTGTGGTTGCTACCAACATGGCAGTAATGGCACTAAACTTAACTTTCGGAACACCACTATTCAAAAATTAAGTCATCCCAGTCAATTTTCCCCACTCTATTGTTAAACTAAAGTATCCTTTACTCAGTTTTACTGCAACTCAGTATTCAGCAATATGACATTTGCCAGTTGCCACCATATTTTCACATATCCCAACAAGAACATTATTATTTTTACCCTCTAAGGCCTCAGATAAAAATTTACTCTTTAACTCTGGCAATCCTATCACCACTCAGAATCTCAACCAGCTAATGGTTTGGTAACTGAATATATTTCCATATGTCTAGAGCTAAAATTAGTACTTGGGCCATAGACTTCTAAAACAGACAACGTAGCGATTTAGAGCATGGATTTGTTCCGTCAACATCAAATAAAAAAAGGAATAGTGGATAGAAATAAATCATGACTAAAATAACTACATTTCCTCCAGAGCATGCTTAGTTCTGATACCTGCTAAATTTCTAGGTCCAAAAACTCCACAACTCAAAGTATGAAGCTAAAATGGTGAACAAGGATACCTTGGTCGGCCATAATTAAAGAATGAAATTCTGGCAAGCACACGATAGATGTTATCACGGAAGTTATAACATCCACTGTAACACAGACTATTGGAATAATTAAAAAGCTGTAAAGGAAAGCAGTAAATAACACAGTAATTGTTCACCCAGTTCAATGTCAACAACACTTACATCTGGGGGCTACCAAGTCAGGGAGGAATTTCACTATTAGCAGAATTAATTCAGAGTCAAACAACCCAGTTTGCACTCCTCACTTAAAATCTATCCAATGACACTTCAACCTAGAGACCTCTAGATCAGAGTTTACCCACTCACTCTCTCTCAATCACCTCAGTGATATAAACCAATTACACAGTAGATATGAAGACACACTTCAAACACACATTGATCTTGCTTCACAGATTTGATCAAGAAACACACACTCTTGCTTAACAGCTTTGAGTGAGACAATGAACACACGTGTTCATACACAATAATCAAAGCAATTATTCAGCTAACAATTGCTTGGCACACAAGGAATCCTAATTCCTAGACACACGTGAAGAGAAACCTCTTCACTCACAAAATACACCCTTTAATATCTCTGCTAGCTGTGTTAACAATTGAGGTTCATCCTCTTGTTATTTATAGCAGATATTCTTTTGGCCTTTGTGCAGAATTTAGGTTTACCCAATCCTTTCTTCAAGAATCTGCACTTACCTGTTAGGTCAGAGACATTTTATTTCGCCAGGGCTTCTAAAATGTTTCCTGACTTCCAGTTTGAGCTTCCACAAAGTTTCCTGAATTCTAGCCTGAGCTTCCTCAACCTAAATACCAGAAAACTAATCCTGCGCGCCTGATGTCATACGATCAGTGTCATGACATTCAGCATGACATCCAACTCAACTTACTGTTAGCTCACTTTACTTACCCTGCATAGTGTGTGTCATAACATCAGTCATGACATTAATACACACTATAATGTTTTGCCACAAAATGCAGTCAACCAGAAGCACTTACAAACTCCCCCTTTGGCAAATTTTTGGCTAAAACACCCTGTTAACAGAGTTTACAAGTAGCAGAAGTCTAACATATAACCTTTTATGCAGGTAAGCTACCAACACACTAGTAGAGTTGTCTATACTCCCCCTCAACTGATGTACCCTTCAACCTGTCACACATACAACTTTGAGTAACATTCTGGGTTACTCCCCCTCAACTGATGTACCCTACATAGCTGGGCACAACCTGCACAGCTTGCAGTCACACATAACTCATCCAGGCTGTTCTGGATGTCATGACATTCAGGATAACATCCTAAAGTCACACACTCCTGTGCTACTCCCCCTGAAGAGATGCACAATACTCACATTCTGCTTAATATCTTGCAGACACACACATACACTCCTAAGCATCAGCTAGGAGCTCACAGAAATTACTAACAGCATCAGCTGTTATCACACATGCACAACAGCAAGACTGGTTCTTCAACCATGCACATTTGCAGCAACACCTGTACCACGCCTGCAACATACTTGTAGCAGCAATTCACACAAGAGTCTTCCACCTGCTTTTGCTATTGCATACATAACCCCCCTGATGCTATTGCTACCTGCTGTTTACCTAACACTCTCTCCCCCTTTTTAGCCACAAATTAAGATCAAACTAATAAAATAGTATAGATCATAAGGTGTAACATTGCATATGGTTGGGGTCATTACAACAAAAACTGCTCATGAAGAGCATCACAAAGTGTCATGCTGTCACAAAACAAAAGTTTAAGCAAGAAAAGAAAACTTAGCAGCAGCACACATAATCAGCTCAGCAACCAGCACCCTGAGCTCCACAGCAGTTTATCATCTCAACACTTTTCCTCCTCAGAGGAAGAACTGGAACCAATGTCATTAGTACCGATTGAGACATTCTTCTCAGAATCTTCACCTATGGCATGAATGATCTTGCCCAGTCCAACAGCAATGGAGGATGTATGGTTGGTAGGCACCCAATTTGTAGCTCCAATTCTATGAAGAATGACATACTTTACGTTGAGTAGTGCTGCAGACAGCTTCCCTTTGGATGGCTCTGTTTTGACTTGATTAGCAATGATGATCTTGCAAACCTGGTTGTCTGAAGCAACCAATTTAGTCTCACCATCATTTGCTCGCCCTAGATACCTGTTGATCACAGCAGGAGAGAATTGCACACACTTTCCTCTGACAAACAACTTCATGAACTCCTTGCTGTTTCTATTTGAGATTGAGTCAGGTATGTTTACAATGAACTTCTTTACCAGTCCTTCGTAGCATTTGGAAAATCCAGAGACTGTCTTAAGCAATCCAGCCTTGTTGATGAGTTTCATTACCTCCTTGATCTCCAAGGCATCCTTCCCCAATTCTCTCTCAAGGACTATTCTCCTTTGATAGACATATCTCTGTTTGGTTACACTGTGAATGGAGTGGAAGGAGATGTTGTCCAAAGGTGCAGTTGGCATAGGTACATCACTATCAGACTCAGTGTTACTATCAGTACCTTTCCTATTCTTGGATGCAGCTGATACCTTGCTCCAAAATTTGGAGGGGCCATCAGAAGTCCTTTTACTCTGACTTTTGGAAGGATTATCTTCAAGTACAGCTTTTCTTTTCTTGATCACTAGTTTCCTACCTATCCCAGGAGTAACATTCTTGATGAGTTCATCATCTGATGACACATCTATAACATGTTCACCATTTCCCGGAGCTTCATTCATCTCTTCCTCCTTGGAAGTGCTTTTGGTTTCACCATTATTTTGGCCATCATCCTGACCTTTCTCCTGTACCTCATAGCTAGCAAGATTTTCAAGAGTCTTTGTGTTAGGGTTAGTCTTACCAGAGAAAAACTCAGACTTATCCTCATGATTCTCATTAGGGATTGGGGATGGATCAACCCTAGACAGAGGAATGGTGATTCCATGTACATTATGCCCTTCATGGAGGATTTTGGAAACTAGTTCATTGACAGACCTGTCATCATAGGTAGAGTCCACCATTCTATTATAGTTGTCCATGAAAGGTTCAGAACTCTTACCTTCTTGGTCTGCATGTAAAGAAGCTGAAGTTTGGGCTTCACTATCTCTTCCAAAGGCCATGCTTAGAGGAATGACATCGAGGATATCCTCCAGGGAGATGCTCTTGTTTTGATCACAGTCATGCTTGGTAGGGATGGGAATTTGTTGAGACATTGTTGGTGACTTTGGCTGTAGAAGGGAGGGTTTTCTGTGGTGGTTGAATGAGGTATGCAATGAAACGAATTGGTATGTGCACTCACAGAGCCAATCTGATATTGTAAGGGGGCTAGAAGGGTTTGCTTGCAACAGAGGAGGGAGCTTGATATTTTGACCAACCTGAAACTGATTAATTTTCAAAATATAACTCTCTATTAATTGCTATAATCTCTTATTACACCACCTTTCCAAATTGCATCTTTCATTTTCTCTTAGAGTAGTTTTGTGAACCCCTGTGAAAGTGTTAGCCCTTGGTATGTCAGAGTCCTCAAGCTCCACACTAACCTTTCCAAACTGATCCTTGTTACCACTATTCATGGTTCTGTTAGACAGAATTGAGTTCATGTAGATGTTACTCTGAATGTCACAATATAATGTCATAACCTTCTGAGTGACATTGCTTTCTTTATGCTGGTCATCTTTCATGGACTCCATCAACTTCCAATATACCAGGTCCAGATTTCTGTGATGTCCCTTCTTTGAATATGCTATATTGGCTTGCCTATCAGCCTGATATTTTCCTGTTCTATCATCTGGAGTTAGCCTTGAAGTTCCTCTTACTTCTTCCTTGAATATGGTCTTCTTTATCCTTTGAGGATGTCTACCTTTTTCCACCCATATTTGATCATTCTTTTCTTCATTGATCAAGACAGTTAGGTTACTTCTTCTGGGCTCCCATAAGTAACAATTATTCTTGGATCTAGATCTCTTCATGACTTCCTCACCTTCTTGATTGGTGACAACACATTTACCCTTGGTAAATTGGACCTTTAAGCCTTGATCACAGAGTTGGCTGATGCTTATTAGATTCACAGTCAATCCTTTAACCAGCAATACATTCCTTAATTATGGAGCTTTAGGACTGTCAAGTTGTCCAGCACCTGTGATTTCTCCTCTAGCTCCATCACCAAAGGTTACATGACTAGAGGAATAAGTTTTGAGGTTTATCAAGAGATCCTCAATTTCAGTCATGTGTCTAGAGCAACCACTGTCAAAATACCAGTCATCTTTGGTAGGCATCCTAGGATAGGTGTGGGCTACTAAAGCCATAGTCTTGCCAACCCATTGTCTTTGCTTGTTAGGAACCTTCTTCTTATGTTTAGCATAGTGTTGCTTCTTGACACGAGCACCCTGTTTGGATCTTCCTTGATGAGGATGACTAGGAAATCCATGTAGCCAGAAACAAACAGATTTAATATGTCCAAGTTTTCCACAGTGGTAACACCTATACCCTTGGAATTTTTTCTTGGTTTGGTTCTAGCTTCTGTTTCTCTGATGTTGAGACATTGGTCGTGACATCCATTTTGACTTCTGAGTTTCAGGCTTTAGCCTTTTGAGCTCCAAGATGGGTTTCTGTTCACCAACAAATCCCAGTCCACCCATGTTTCCAGCTTTCTGACCACTCTGTAGGTTTTTTTCTAAAGTGTCAGTCCCAGGGTTTAGCATCCTGACAGATTTAGTCAACTGATCAAGTTTGGAGTTTAACATTTTGACCTCACTGTTGAGTGAGTCAATGGTTGTAAGATTCTACTTCTTCTCAGCTTCCAACTTCTTGATGATTTTCTTATGCTTCTCCCCTAGTTGACATATTTCAACACTCTTGTTGTATAGCTGTTTATATGAGACTGCAAGTTCATCAAGGGTCAGCTCATCTTCACTTGAGTCACCCTATGCATACACTGTTCAGAACAGTGACATGCTTGGCTGATTCTTCTTCTGATCCACTCTCAGAATCTCCATCAGACCAATTAACTACTAGGTCCTTCTTTTGCCTCTTGAGATAGGTGGGACATTCTGTGTTAATGTGCCCATATCCTTTACATTCATAGCACTGAACTCCTTTGTTTTGGTTGGACTTTTCTTCAAACTTGACTCTTTTGTCAATGTCAGATGAGATGTTATTGACATTAGATCTGCCCTTCTTATCTACCTTTTTCATGAGTCTGTTGACTTGTCTACCAAGCATAGCTACAGCTTTTGAGAGATTCTCCTTGCTTCCATCATTGTCTTCATCAGAGTCTTCTGCTGAGTTTGTGACAAGTGCTATGCTTTTGTTCTTTTTCTCCACAGCTTGATCACTCATTCCCATCTCAAAGGTTTGGAGAGAACAAATGAGTTCATCCACCTTCATATTGCATATGTCTTGAGCTTCTTTAATGGCAGTGACTTTCATGGCAAACCTTTTAGGTAAAGACCTGAGAATCTTCCTTACAAGTTTTTCATCAGACATCTTTTCTCCCAAGGCTCCTGAGGTGTTTGCAATTTCAAGGATGTTAATGTAGTATTCATGAATAGTCTCATCCTCTTCATTCTCAGGCTTTCAAACTTGGTTGTCAACATTTGTAATCTTGACATCTTGACTTTAGAGGTTCCCTCATGAGTTGTTTTGAGAGTATCTCACACCTCTTTAGCCAGTTCACAATGGTGTACCAGTCTGAAGATGTTTTTGTCTATACCATTGAAGAGTGCATTCAATGCCTTAGAATTCCCAAGAGCCAAAGCCTCTTGTTCTTTGTTCCATTCCTTTCCAGGAATTTACACAGATACTCCATCCTTGTCAGTCTTCACTGGATGTTCCCATCCTGAATTTGCAGCTCTCCATGCCTGGCTGTCTAAAGACTTTAGGAAAGCAATCATCCTAGGTTTCCAATAGTCATAATTAGAGTCATCCAGAATTTGTGGTCTATTTATGAATCCTATGTCTTTATCCATAGTACTAGAATTTATCTTCCCTCGATCTCACCCAAAAACTAACAGGCAGGGTGCCTGCTCGGATGCCAATTGAAATTTTGGCAAGCACACGATGGATGTTATTACGGAAGTTATAACATCCACTGTAACACAGACTATTGGAATAATTAAAAAGTTGTAAAGGAAAGCAGTAAATAACACGGTAATTGTTCACCCAGTTCAGTGTCAACAACACTTACATCTGGGGGCTACCAAGTCAGGGAGGAAATTCACTATTAGCATAATTAATTCAGAGTCAAACAATCCAGTTTGCACTCCTCACTTAAAACCTACCCAATGACACTTCAACCTAGAGACCTCTAGATCAGAGTTTACCCACTCACTCCCCCTCAATCACCTCAGTGATATAAACCAATTACACAATAGATATGAAGACACTTCAAACACACCTTGATCTTGCTTCACAGCTTTGATCAAGAAACACACACTCTTGCTTAACAGCTTTGAGTGAGACAATGAACACACCTGTTCATACACAATAACCAAAGCAATTATTCAGCATACAATTGCTTGGCACACAAGGAATCCTAAATTCCTAGACACACGTGAAGAAAAAACCTCTTCACTCACAAATTACACCCTTTTATATCTCTGCTAGTTGTGTTATCAATTGAGGTTCATCCTCTTATTATTTATAGCAGATATTCTTTGGACCTTTGTGTAGAATTTAGGTTTACCCAACCCTTTCTTCAAGAATCTGCACTTATCTGTTAGGTCAGAGACATTTTATTTCGCCAGGGCTTCTAAAATGTTTCCTGACTTCCAGCTTGAGCTTCCACAAAGTTTCCTGAATTCTAGCCTGAGCTTCCTCAACCTAAATATCAGAAAATTAATCCTGCGCGTCTGATGTCATACGATCAGTGACATGACATTCAGCATGATATTCAACTCAACTTACTGTTAGCTGACTCTACTTACCCTGCATAGTGTGTGTCATAACATCAGTCATGACATCCATACACACTCTAATGTTTTGCCACAAAATGCAGCCAACCAGAAACACTTACAAAAGATATTATGGCGAATCAGAATTCCAAATAAACAAAAACAGTTTTGTTACTGAATCTATTTCGTATGTTTTTCAGCCGGTTTAGGGATTTTGAGCATGTACTTGTTCCATTGTAATCAAACAAAAACCAAAAGGAATAGTGGATACAAATAAATCAAAACTACAATATTTATATTACCTCCAAAGCATCAGCCTTCTCCGAATCCTTTATCTTATCAAATGATCCAAAGACAATTAAACCATCTTCATAATCACTTAGCAATGCTCGCATGGCTTTTGTTACATGCTCCAAGGAACTTGTCTACAGTGGAAAAAGAATTGTTCAGGAAACAATTTTGACAAGTACAGCTGCAAAATTTACCAAGCAATTTATACCTTCGTCACATAAATGGGAATATCATTTGATTTAAAGGCAGCTTGGATCCTTGAATTCTTTTTAAGCTTTGATTGCAAGGCAAGTAAGGCATTTGCTTCACTGATATTATCAGTCAATTGAAGGTCCGCGTCATTCATTTTCAACTGTTTAATCCCTTGAATAACAGTTGCCTCTAAAATCTAGAATTACTGACCATTCTGTAAGTTAATCAGCCAATGAAGAAATATAAAATAGAAAACAGAGTGAAAGCGTGACCACTATTTTTAATTTATAATAATGGCTTGAATGTCTCTTTGTCCCCATAAACATGCCCCTTTTAATTTTTTAGTCCCTAAAACAAAACAAAAAATGCATTTGACCCTTATTGTTTTGTTTTTATCCATGTACTATTTATTCATGTTGAATTTAATCCCTGTAATATTCTGAACATATTGACGTAGTCCCTAAAATCTGGATAATATAAGGACTAAAATTAAAATGGTCTGCATATTATAGGAATTAATTTCAAAATGAACAAATATTACATGGACTAAAACAAAATAGAGCAAAAGTGGAAAGTGTAAAATTTGTAGGGACAAAAAAAATATTAAAAGCAAAAACTGATATAATAGTAGGATGAAAAAGATATTTAGGCCTATAATAAACTGTGTTTATCTAACTGTCAGCACTGTTAATTTTAAATTTAAAACAAAATGCACTAGAAAACATTAAATAAAAATATGGCTTAAATGTGTTTTCGCTTCCCCAAAATATTGTAATTTTTTACTCATTCATAAAAATCTGTCAACTTCAGTTCCATTTTCTAAATGCGTCCATCTAATTGCATCTCTAGTTCAACCTGGCAGGTATTTCTATGATTCATTCATATCATTCTTCTCAACTCAACACTAAGACTGCACCACTTGCTGGCATATCCTTCCATCCTGTCTTTAAAGCATTCTTTCTAAATAAATATAGCCTATAGGGACCAGAGGTGACACACGTCTTCAGAAATGAGAGACTAAATTAATATGAAATTTTTTTCAGGAACTAAAATCAAAAGCTACCATGCTTTGGGGGACAAAATGTTTAAGCCAAAAAGTCTAGCTAAACATGTAAGACACAATGATTCAATTAAAATTGGTCCTTTTTATTTTATTTTTCTCTCTCTTTGCCTTCCACGTCCTCGCAAAATTTTCATGAAGAAATATTGTATTATATTTTTGTTTTTACTTTGCTCTCTCCCCTCTTCCTTTCATATTTGTTTTATACTTTTACCTTTTTTTGTGTTTGATATTTATTAAGGTTTCTAAGTATCGAGTTGTACGGTATTTATAAAACAAAATAGTCTAAAATAAACAAGAGGCTTTTAGGAATGGGAAAGGAGAGACTTCGCCAATACTAGTGACTTGAGTTGTATTAGCAAGAGTTGATGTGCGAGGTGTTTTGGAGATACAATTTTGAGAAACGAATGCGACTACCAACTTTGGATCAAAGGAAGTTTTCTAAAAATAATATGATGGCAACTAGTTCATATCAATAATCAAACTCATGTCAACATTATAAATAGCATTAATAAAAATAAGTAAAACACAACATACAAGCAAATAAAAAAGCTGTTAGTGATAATATCAATGTTCATTTCATACATTAGACACAGCTATTGGGTGATAATGTCTTACCCCATAACAAAATAGACGAAGTGGCAATCGGTGCTCCCAAGAATCTTCTAACATGTCAATAGGCAACGTCAAAGGTGACTCTTCTTGCCTGGTTTGGACATCAGCCCTTCCCAAAGCATCTTTAAGTATAATTTCACCATCATTTTCAAGAGGGCTGTCAATAACGGGTCCCTTTTGTAAAATCTCTTCCTGCTCTTGAGACTTCATCTTGCGCACTTCTACATTTGGAAGACGACCTATACCAACAAGAAAGCAAAGCATACTTATAATCAATCTACTGCAATATTATTTGAACCGGGAGGGGGGGCACTTACCTGAAAGAATAGCATCAACAGTTGCTTCAAGGCTACGGTGAATGCGCAACTGTGTCTTTGAAATAATCTCTACTGCACAACTAAATGTTGATGGGCCTTTCCTCTCCAGTACTGTCTTCTGAACGCCCCTGCGGCTGGCCTCTTCATCCCCAAGTGTCACACTCTAAAATGATAGTAGAGATAATATAACAAAATGGAATTAGTATACCAAAAGTAGGGAGAATAGTTTGACTTATATTTCTGCAGAAACTTATTGCACATAGAATGACAGAAGAAAGAGAAATGGGAGACAACAGGACTATTGATTAAAATTTATGAAGTTCAGATACTCCAAAAATATAAAAGAGTCAAAGTCCAGATACTCCAAAAATAGAAAAGAGTCAATGGCGTACCATTTAGGACAACGGTGCTCCCCGATTATGAACCCCAAAAGTATCCAATATTTTTTTTTATTGAATTATTATGATAATTCTCAAATACATCTCAATACTCCTCAAATACTTTTCTATATTTTGCAATACTTGTATGATACTAACAATGTTTTTTATGGTCCTTGTTTTGAGTTCTTCTGGAGACGCTTTTTGTTGATATCCAATCATAGGGACTAGAATATATTATGTGTATATAGGCTTAAATTCTATTATTTTTGTTACCAACATAACAATTTTCATATAAATTATGACCATATATTGATATACTAATGAGGAAATCAAATCAATGAGAAGCGGAAGTTGTATTGTTGGTTAGAAACTAGATGTACGAAAGAAGGGAAGAAAACCAGTAACCTTATCTATTACTATTCTAACACTTCTTAGCGAAGAGATGTTAGGGCCATAGAAGAGATGTTAGGGCCAGAGAATAGATATTTCTATGTGTTGGCGCTTGGCTCTGGGAGTAGATAGACAAACTAATTGAGCAGTAAATCACAAAACAATGATAAAATGCAGGAATGGTGGAAAAGTTCTGCAACTGTATGGAATGGACAGTTACAGAATGATTGACAACGACAGAGAAAGATAAAGTAAGAATGTCTGATAGTGGCATGCTATCAGCTCCAAAGGCTACAAGAGCTTCCCTTACAATGAGATTCCCATGATCTCACCCCTTTCCAAAATAACAGAATGCTTAGCTCCCTATTCCCTCTAATGATGAAGCAACCTGATATGATAAACTTTGGCACTTTTCGGGGGCAGTTGAATCTGTTCCTGAAACAAAGTTGGGAATTGGTCCAATAATGAATCCTCCCGCACTCCTTCTCTATCCTTCATCTGTTTTTGAGGAAACCACCACCAATCCTCTCTTTTTCCCAAATGTTGGTTTGCAAGGAAAGTGTTGAGTGAACATGATTTTCCTTGGGCCACTCCCTGACCTTGGATTGTTATCAATTGACCCTGATGCCAAAATTGCATGGTTAAATTTCTCCAATCCATGATTACCTTTTCTAGAGTGCTCGACCACGATACTCCCATCACCACGTCCAATCCCCCTAACTCCAACACCATGGCATCTAGTAAACAGCCGATGCCTATCCCCTAACTTTATTCCTTTGGCCACCATAGGTGTGAGTGACCTTAACTCCCAAGGCAGAGGTTAACTTTTGAGAGCTGCAATTATGACTAGCCCCACTATCTATCAAGACTACCATACCCGCATCCTTCAATCTTTAATTGTACGACAATCCTCCATACTTCCTAATACTCCAATCAATTTACACTCCGCCTCGACATCCTTATCCTCCTCTGATTCTTCTTCGACTTCAATTGAAACAATTTCCCCCTCATCATTGAGGCTCTCACCTTCAACAATCTTAGGAGCTCTTGACATTTGTACATGGTAGGGTTGAACTTCCCTCCACATTTGAATCGCCACTAGTTTATCTCCTCACTGTGAAGACTTTGGACTCTCTTCCATCACTTTGCAGAGCCCCTACAGAGGTCGTTCTCACATTTTCTTATTGTAGGGTGAACGATGTGGAGGAATTATGATTCGACCCCGCCGACCCGAGTTTTTTGAGTTGGGTCACTCCAACCTGAGTTAATAGGCGGGATCAAATCTTTATGGGTCCAACTCGACCCGCTTCGGTTTTTGAAACTAGGCCTATTCCTCTCCTTGCGTCCCAAACGATCCACTCCCTTTTTCCTCTTGTAGCACCTTTCACCGTTATTGACTTCTTCCTTCAACTCATCATTCAAGTCTTTAGCCATCCTCATTATTTGTATTCGAGTTTGTGGGTTTAACGTTTTAACCTTCCTTTTAATATGAGGTTTCAACCCACTCATAAAGTATCCCAACACTTCTACTCTGTCTGACATCTTCGGTGGCATCTACAGTTGGAGATTTGTTGTTTAATGAACTGGCAGATCGGACCAATTAATAGAACAGTAAATCACAACAATGATAAAACGCAGGAATGGTGTAAGCTGTTAAGAGTCCCACATCGGGTAATATATGGCATGAACATGTCTTTATAAGTTGGGACAATCCTCACCTTACCAACCGGTTGAGTTAGGCCCAACCACATTTCTCTTTTCCTAATGTAATGTCTCCATATTTTGGGCCTCATTTCATTCTAGCCCACATCATCCACAACCACATTCCTATCACAAACAATATTCTATATTATCTATTATCACCAATAATACATATTTTCTATCGATTTCTATTGTTCATCTATACTTCTCGCTGTGCATTCCCTGTTTCCGATCCCCCAGCTACATTGGTTTCTATTAGTGACCCGGAGGACCCTTAAAACTCCGTACTGTCTTAAAGAAATCAGAATTGTCATTCTTTACAATTCATAAAGCATACCAAAAACCAAGTGCATGGGAAGTATAATATGCAAAAACAATCCCGTATCGACTTCTAAAGATTTATCCCTTCCTAGAGAGGTGCCAGAATGGAGTTTCAATGTTAAACGTGAAACAACCAACAATTTTGATTTCTTAATAAGTAAGGGCAGCAGCAGTCTTTACATCGATGACAACAACAAAGAAGATAGCTATGAGGGAAAAGTGTCACTGAAACACAAAATATGCAGTGTAGGCAGCTAACATAAGTGTTGTGTTTCGCACAATTACTGAAATGAAATTTGATCTCCAATGCTGATCTGACATTGCTGGCATCAAAAGTCAACTATGAAACAATCCTGGTGCTCTAATTTTCCGATTGATCAAAGTGTGCCATTTCATTTTTGAGCACTGCAGTCAATAGTTTCTTCCTTACCTTTTTTTCTACCTGTTCCAACCCATTTAAGTCATTAACTGTTTTGGTAGCTTCACACACTTTCTTTCATGGTGAGCAGATTGGTAAAGCACACCTAATAAACTTCCTCCAATTTCCTGCAACAGGAAATTTCCCCAACCTTGATGTAAAATTCCAGCTTGAAGTCAAGTCTATAAAACTTCCCTGAGCACAAAATGCCCTAACATATCATAATGGACTAGATACCTATCCCTATCAACTCATCGTCATGTTATTTGTAGGCAATAAGTCACAGCTAACTCATTCATTGTAGTAACAGACCACTAATGGTCTAATACTACAGACACTCAACAGTGAATAAACTCAATAGTATACAGATAGTGATTCAGCTCAAGTTCCAGCCTCATCTTCCGCTGCGGGATTTCTGTTGACTTACCTATTGCTATACGTAAAGGTAGAAGGTCTACTTCTAATTCTCATCCTATTTATAACTTTTTGAGTCATCACCTATTGTCTCTTTCCTACTTTTATTTTGTTTCGGCTCTTTCATGTCTATTCCTAAGATAGCTCAAGAAGCATTACATCATCCTGATGAAAACAAGCCATGATTGATGAGATGATAGCTTTAGACTCTAACCATATTTGGGAGCTTGTTCCACCTCCTCTTGGAAAATATGTTGTTGGTTGTAGATGGATGTTTATTTCAAAGTGAGACCCGATGGACAAGTTAATCGATTGAGAGCCTGGTCACTGGCAAAAGGATATACTTAGGTCTATAAGCTTGGTTAATCGATTTGTTCGCCTCTTTATAGATATGGCTGCCATGAAATGCTAGCCAATATTTCAGGTCGAAACAAGAATGCTTTCTTGCATAATGATGTGGAAAAGTAGGTATATATGAAGCAACCTCCTTGGCTTGTTGCTCAGGTATGCAAATTGCAAGTCCTAACAAGGCCTAAAACAATGACCCAGGCATGGTTTAGTCGATTGACCAAAGTTCTGCACCAACTTGGGATGACCCATTGTGAATTAAATAACTTTAACTTCCTTAAATGCTCATGATCAAATAAATATACCTACCTTGTGGTTTATGTTGATGACATTGTAATTATAGGTAATGATTATGAAAGTATCAATTTAACAGCAAATTTCATACATTAATTTCCTTTTTTTTCACCAAAATATAATATAAATACATTTCATTTTTAACCAAAATAAATTGAAGTTATTGTGATTGTGCGGTACGATGGAAGAGCGGACGACAGAGGAGTAGGAAAGGAGACACTAGTTGGACGGAGGAAGGGCGGTAATAGTTTGTTGGACGGTGTAATCTTTGAAGTGAAATCTAGATTATAGATGAAGCTTAAATATGAAATGACCAAATTGGATTTGTACGGAAAGACTAAATTTTTTTAAAAGATAAAAAGACAGGGTATAATAAACTAATAATATTTAAATAATTTTTATAATTTACTAACGGATACGGATATCTGTGAGCACGGGTATCATCAAATCCACATAAATTCATTTCATCCACGAATATCCATTAAGCTACTCGTGCCGTATCCGTGACAGATTTTATCCACGGATACCCGTGGGTATAGATTTTGTTGCCATCCCTACTCAATAGTCAGTACTCAACAAGGTGTCTCCTTAATAAGGACATGGCCACGTCAGTTCAAATACAAAATCCTAATCATGTGTGACATACCTAAAACTCAACATGGCATCTTGCTTAAGATGTAGGTAATCTCACCTGTATTCCACCGACAAGCATCTCTAATGAAGGATTCATTATTAGATTCTCAATGGTAATTCCATGAGCAGTAGCAACAAGCTGGATCCCACGCTGTGCAATTGTACTTGCAGCCATTGCTTCAAGCTTCGTACCAATTTCATCAATTACAATTACTTGCGGCATGTGGTTTTCAACTGCCTCTATCAATACCTGAACAGTAAAATAAACATAGGAATACTAATGAAATTAAATTCTGTGTGGTTGATCATTCTTCTGTGTGGTTAATCATTCTTCTGTGTGGTTGATTCCCATCAACAGTACATTCTATTATATATTACAAAGTTTGGAAAGCTTAGTGCAGATTTGCATGATTGTTGTTAAAAAAAAAGGGAGGAACGTAATAGGGAATAAGAAATTTTGAAATAGTTGAGTCTGAAAGAACGAGTTTTATGCTTGGGAATGTTGACCTTAAAAGTAATTTTGGCAATTAGTGTAAAGATAGCCAAAATTTTAAAACAGAATTTAGAACTAATTTGGAGTGGTATCCAAACAAGTTCTTGGATTATAGAACTTCCAACTATTACTTGAAACAATTAATGCAATTCATCTCCTACACTTTATGGTTTTAGTCACATAAACCATGACAAGAGTTCCAGTTGCAACACTGGTGGAAGAAGTCTCCAGATGTGTAGCACTCTGATTTTGTTGTAATACTCCACACTCTAAATAAACAAGAGGCAACTTATGAACGCGGCTAATACCTTATGTTGCATATCAGAGTTGGGAACTTGCATGCGCCGAGCACTGCCAATTCCAGAATGAGGTATATCACCATCACCCCCAATCTCATTGGAGGTGTCAACAATCATTACACGCTTCTTGTAATCATTTGCCAGCATCCGAGCTACTTCCCTGAAAATATAAAATAGGACCAACAATATGTCAAATTTAAAGAGTGGGATAAGATCACCAATAAAAAAAGACTGGGATAATAATAATAATAATAATAATAATAATAATAATAATAATAATAATAATAATAATAATAATAATAATAATAATAATAATAATTGTTGGAATTTCCGCCTTCATTGCGGTCCGCCCCTAGTCGCCTAAATTGCGGCATTTGACTTGCCTTCATTGCAGCCTTCAACACCTTCATTGTGTTGAATTTGGTCCCACATTGCTTAGAGATATGGCATTTGTTGTGTTTATAAGTGGGGGCAATCAACATCTTACAAATCGGTTTTGTAGGTATGAGTTAGACCCAAGCCACGTATTCTAATGATAATAGAAAAGTATCAGTTTTAGCTAATGACCAAGACCAATCACGGTCCCAAAGCTCTATGTTGTAATTATTTTAACCTATTTCTCCCGCAAGTCTGTTTCTCCCTCATGTAACCACTCAATAATTAAGTAACTTGTTTGGTCTAAGAAAAAGAAGGAACCATATATTTCAGTACAGTTTAGTGAAGTAACTTATTTTTTAACAAATGAATTAAATAACTAAAGGTGTAAAACTACAGACAGCATCATATCACAGTCTCTCCCTCATATAGGTTCAAAATAGAGGAGGGAATGGGAGGGGAGGGATTTTAATTAAAAATGTGTTTGGTTCAGAAGGGGAGGGGAAGGGTTTTATTAATAATTTACAATTTTATCCTTATGATCTTATATAAGTTATATGATATTAAAATGTGAAAAATTCATCCGCAAGTCTGTTTCTCCCTCATGTAACCACTCAATAATTAAGTAACTTGTTTGGTCTAAGAAAAAGAAGGAACCATATATTTCAGTACAGTTTAGTGAAGTAACTTATTTTTTAACAAATGAATTAAATAACTAAAGGTGTAAAACTACAGACAGCATCATATCACAGTCTCTCCCTCATATAGGTTTAAAATAGAGGAGGGAATGGGAGGGGAGGGATTTTAATTAAAAATGTGTTTGGTTCAGAAGGGGAGAGGAAGGGTTTTATTAATAATTTACAATTTTATCCTTATGATCTTATATAAGTTATATGATATTAAAATGTGAAAAATTCATCCGCGTTTTTGTTGGTAATAAAATTTTTAATATTGAGTGATTAAAAAAATATTTATTTGTCACAAAAGAAAATATGATAGAATATCTAACAAAATAAGTATTTATTTTGATGGTTTACAATTTGATATAAAAGAAAATATGATAGAATACCTAGCAAAACAAAAAGAAAAAAACGAATATAACTAAACATAATTTTTTTTATAAAAAAAAGACAATGATTATGATTTATAATAAGTATAAAAATTATAAAATAATTTGAAGTTGGAGTTATAATAAGTTGATGTAAACAATTGAAAAAAAACAGTAACACAAAAGAAAATAAATAGTTTTGAAATACTGAAATTAAATTGAAGATATTTTAGTAAATATAATAATTTTTAAATATTAAAACTCATATTCCCTCCCCTCCCCTCCAAATCTCCCCAATTCGGAGGGAACTAAGAAGTGTGTTTTGGAGGGATTTTGCTCCCCTCCCCTCCTAAAATTTGAACCAATCATATTTAATTAAAAATTTCCCCTCCCCTCCCCTCTATCTACCCCGAACCAAACGCACCCTAATTGTTGCGGACCACAATTCAAAATTATGAGCTAAGTATTCATTGCATATTTTGCTTGACGGTTAGTAAAAGAAAAAATAATAACTGACCTAATGATTGTAGTTTTGCCTACACCTGGAGGTCCAATGAGCAACAAAGAAGCCCCGTCTTGAACCAAGTCTTGCAACAACTTGGCACTTCCTGAAATCGCCCTGCCAACACGACAAGTTAGACCAATAATCGTGCCCTTTCGATTTCTAATAGCACTGATCCGATGCAATGTCCTGCTGATTCCTGCTCGATTATCAACAGCAAAGTCACCAACCTGCAAGAAGCTTTAATTCTCTAGTAAGTTGATGATTATGACTATCTCCTTAAATGAAAAGACGCTTGTGTTGCAATAATACCTGAGCAGTGGCGTACTCAATATCCTGAACTGTGATTGGATACTCGGAAATAACAAAATCGCCGGAGGGAAACCTGGCCAGCGGTTTCCGTCCTAAATCCATAACCACTTCCATCAACTGCTGCAACTCCGGGTGGTCACTGACACGCCTCCGCATCTCCTCCGGCAACAGAGACAGCAAACGCCCCAGCTCAACCTCCTGGTCATCCTCGGAAAGGGAAGACGGCGAGCTCAAATCAACCGGATAAGTGGCTCGCAAAACGGGAACGTTTGGAGATGTGGACTGAGGATGAGAAAAGATATGATAGTTGAAGCGTTTGGGTGATACCAAATTGGGAAGCAGAGATTGATGGTGTTCGTGACGGCGAAGAAGATGAAGCGGAAGCGGCAACCGTAGTAGCATAATTTTGGCGGGAAATTGATAGATTTTTCCGTTGAGAGGGGAGAAAATGGAGTCAGATGGTTTGAGGCTTTGAAGTGAAGGAAGGTGGTTTGTTACGTGTTTTGCTTTTCCATTGCAACGACTTCTGTCGTTTTCTATTGGGAAAGGATTTCAAGGGAACCAATTTCCGATATTCTAAACGAGTGGCAACCAAATGTACATGAGTTTCGAAGGAAAATGACTTGTGTATACTTTAAATTTATCCACCATGTAGATTTATGTCTAGCTCCCAACAACTTATAGCGTTTCAAAAAATTTGCTGGAATTGGGAGAATATTTACAAATAAGTGTATTTATTTACAAATGTCGAATTTTTAGAAATGTTTAGTATAAATGCGTAAATTTAACGCATTTTTATTAAACTTTGGCTTTTATCGAATTTTTATAAAGTCTGATATAAAAAATATATTTATACCAATTTTTTTAAAATGTAGGAATGTTATAGGAATGTCATCAAAATTTTCAAAGTTCTGATAGCCAAATTTTTTATTTTTAAATTGCTTTTCTTTTTAGTAAAGATAAGAGAAAGAGATGGTAAAATCATATATTGATTGAGCGATAGGTCTGTTAGAGATATTGTAAAGAGCTCTGACAGAGAGGATGAAGACACTCTTTTGGCCATTCATGTAGCTAGAGTAACTCCTATTGGTTCTCACCGCAGGAAGATCAAAGGGTTTTGTGGACCACGTACTATCTATCATATATGAGGTAGAGGTGATTTGCTCTAGAGATCATGAGGAGGAGGTAGATGTTGTTATAACTGAATAGGGGTGTGTAGAACCCAACCCAACGCGAAGACCCGTCTCAACCCAATAGTTTTAGGTTAGTCTTTTTTCAGTCTCGTGAAAAAAATGGAAAAAATGACTGTCTAAAAATGAACCCGATATCGGGTTGGGACGGGTTCGGGTTGACCATCAGGTTACTCAACCCATCCTAATATTATGAATGCACATGTGGTACTATTTATTTATTTAATTTATTAGTATATTTAGATTATTCCAAATTTTCAATACACTTTTCCACTTCCCACCTCATAATTTAATATATGCATTGAGTAAGCACTAAGTACACATCTTCCCACTTCTCTAGTTCTCTTACATGATATTTTTTATTTTACATCTTCTTACTATGTTTTAGTGAAAATAAAAGGGTGATGAAATATATAGAATTACACTATATTTTTTATTTTAAAAATTTTACTTTAGATGTCTTCATTGTTTTTCATTCATGCTAATGATTTTATTCATATTTCTTATTTAAGTGAATTTTTTAAAATACTATAATAAATTTATTAAGTCATTAACTAAATGATCTATTTAGAAAAGGTAAATAACCTTCCCTATTGCTTCGAGGTTGTATGCCACGAGCAGGTCCCATTTTCTTCTTATCAAGTCTTCCGCTTGAAAAGGTTAAAATAAGCTTCACCAAACTTCCCTTTGAGACTTTTTCGAAGAGATGAAATTTGATGAAAAATGAAATCACCAAGAATTAAGACTTCACATGGGATTAGGAATTTCACTGGTGCTTTATAACATCACCAGCGATCTTCAAATGAGATTCGGGTCGGTTGATTTACAAAACAGATTTCTCAAATAAAAAGAAAGATCATCTGTAGGAATCTTCACCAAACTTCTCTTACGGGACTTCCGAAGAAATTCCATTTGATGGAAGCAAATTGAATAGTGAACCCATTGGGAAGAACATCACCAATTATAATTTGAAATTGCATTGGAGCAAATAAAATCCTTGTAGGATAACTCAAATTAAGAGAAAGATATTTGTAAAAGCATTCACAAACTTCTCTGACGGCACTTCCGGTTAGATGCCATTTCATGAGAGAATGGCTAATAAATCTGATAATTTCACTAGGGATAGAAAAACTATCTTGAGAAGAGATTGTCCTTTATCGTCCAATAAAAAGTCTGAGAACATAACAAGTTGCTCAAATAAAGAGACTGCAACTTGCCGTCTGGTATGAATTTCAAGAGAGTGTTACATCAACACTGTTGGGGAGTAAAGATTTGTCTTCAATGGGGATCCATAAACAGATTCTTCCTAGAGACAAAGTATCCAAAAGTGTAAATTAAATGCACCCTCGATCTAGGTTTAATAGCCTAGAGGGATTCAAATCCAAAATAATTGACAGAGACCAAAGTTCAATCTAGGAATGAACTGGAGAGAAATGGTCAATTAAGACTCTAACCAATGAGGAATGGATTCGATTGGGGATTTATCCTATCTAAGAATGGAAAGGAAAGTTAAATCAAAATATTCCATGAGGGATAAACTCAGTGGGGAATCAAAAAAGATATATATTTTCTGCTTAAGGTTGACAACTCTACTAGGAGAGATGAAAAATAAAGTCACCTGGGGATAAACACAGCCAAAGTGAGTAAAGTAAACAACACCATGAAAATGCGGAATCCACATGCATTATGCATATGTGTATGAATGTATGTATGTCATGTTATGTTTATGCTGATAAAATAGACGAAAGAGATAAACTGGAGATGAAATAAACATCACAGTACAACCGGATGCTCGACCATTCTTAACAAGGTAGAAAAAATCACTGGTGATGAACCAAAGGCCATTTATGGAATAAAGTCTTGCTTCAAGGCTTCAATATCTCTAGAGAGAGGAAGATGCTTTACTTGGGGATAACCAAAAATAATCTTCTATCATTAAAAATCCAATAAGGGATAACATGATGAGCTCCGCTTCATGGGGGAGGAAGGATTCACTAGGGAAGGACCACTCATAACTAGATAAGCTTGAATCAAAGTTGCAGCTGGTGATACTAGATCTAAGACTTCATAGGGGATAAAATAACTTCATTGGGAAAGCTGAGTCAGAGTCGTACCTGAGAATTCCAAAGCTAGGACTTCATGGGGGATAAAATAAATATCCATTTTGCTGAGGAAGACTAAAGTCAAAGGAACCAACTGGGGAAATCCTACACCAGACATGTCATAACTGCTTGAAATAGAGACTTATTGGGGATAAAATAAATCCTGTTGGCGGAAAGAAACACATCCAACTAGGGAAATTTGAGTCCTTGAATCACATCTTAATCGTTGTTTGGGCTTAATACTTTGCTGGGGAATACTAAGCTTATAAGAAACCCACTGGGGAAATCCTAGTCAATCACCCAAACATGTCAGAGCTATCTGGAGTAGAGACTTATTGGGAATGTGTATAGGGCAAGATCCCAATAGCCCACTGCTTGGAAGAACACTTAGTTTTGCCCTGATGAACTGCATGGCAATCATCACAAAAGAACTACAATTCTTGTGAGTGGATAAAATAAAATTCAATTCTCAAATGCCCCAGATTACACAGCTTACGAGAAAAAATCATCTCAAGAGGATTTTACAGAAAACTTGGCATCCAAAATGTCTCAGTGTCTTCAGACTCTTGGAGATATTTATCGAATCTCGACGTAACTACCCCAGATTGACTGTATTTGGCACACTTGAGTCTTCAAAACTGCTCCATAGGGGTGACGAGATCGTGAAAGAAACAACTGGGAAATAACTTGCCCCTGTTTAGCAAACTCTTTAGGCAACATGCCCCTAGATATGATCATTCTTTTGAAATGATTGGCCATTTACTCATCATAGTTTCAAGTCTCAAAAGATTAAACTCATCATTGATGCTCATATGCAAGTTTCTATGATATCAAGCAACGTTTGCAAGCAGAAAAATGTTAATTCTAAGAATGAAAATGCAACACACATGTTAGTCTTGAAGTTTTTATTGAAAAGATATCGCAATAACTTGTGACCGAATCACTAGTTAGGTTATGAAATTAATTTTCTTTTACAAAGCCAACACAAATTCATAGCTCGTAGGAGTCCGGAAACGTCATCTCAATGAGTATTATTTCGAAATAAACTATGTTTCAATTAGGTCTTTGGAGGGTTGTAATGTGGCCTGGTTCACAGTTTTCAAAAAAATATTTTAGGCTCAAAGTTTATTTGTACCCATCCATTCTTCGTGATGTTCTCCAATCCTACATTCAGCTAACTCGATGCGAGCACCCTTGTATTAAGAGTATTTTTGCTATGGTTGAGAAAACACTGAGGCTTTGGACATGGTAGTTGTCGCTACTGCGAAAATCGGCGCCGGCTGAACAGAAGAGTCGCCACCGTGCGTTATTTATCCCACGGGAGGGAAAGGAAACGCTCAGAGTAAACCTCGCACAACACGGGAAAGGTATGGTCATCGCAACCAAAACCTGGATTCGGGAGTCGGTTACGCAAGGGGAAGGTATTAGCACCCCTCACGTCCGTCGTACTCGACGGGATCCACGCTTGTTTTCGGGTATGGATTGTTATTCTATCTAAACTATAGGTCAAGGGTTAAAAAGAAAATAAAATGAAAATAAAAATGACTCGGCAAAGTATCGCACTTTATGCCTACGTATTCCCGCCTGGAACGAGAAATCAGAGTCAACGTAGTTCGCCTACCTACGGGAAAGGAGGGGAAGGTTGCTCGCTAGGATATCGCATCCTATGCCTACGTACTTCCACACAGCATGGAAGATCAGAGCAAACGTAGTTCGGGCCACGTACGACACAAGTCTGTCTTGGTTGATTTTATTCCTTCTGAAAAAGGTTTTTCTGATTAACAGTCCAAGGGGACAAAAATGACGTTTTGATGAGGTCACATTCTTTTACGGAAGAAGTGTCTTTTATTGTGTTTGAAATCTTTAGGTGTTTTTCTGTTTGTTTTGAGAAAGAAAGAGACAGAACTCTAACCTACGGTTGCGAAGGGAAACAAACTAACCTAATGTTATCATGCATGGGTTAAGACCTAGTGTCTATCATGCTCCTCTCTTGCACAGAGAGAAACAGAGATCCTACGGGATAGGCAGAAACAGAAACAATATCAGATATATACAGTAAAACAGTAAAATGCATGGATGCAACAGCACAAGCGAGGCAAGGGAGTCCCAC